ATCATCTATCTGAATGTATACAAACATCTCTGTGAATTAGATGGATATAATATTTAGTCTCTATAAAATTGTGATTTCATGATGACAACAATAAATGGGCTGATAGACGGCAGCCGGCTGTAAATAAAATATAAAGAAAAACATACAAATATGACTACATTTAAAAAACTGACACTGTGGGGGTGACTGCAGGTGCAGCACAGTGGCTGAATGGTGAGCACTTCCACCTGGCAGCACTGGGGTCATTGGTTCAAATCCCAACCACAACACCACCTGCCAGGAGTCTGCATGCCCTCCCTGCCATACATTGTACACTCCTCAGGGGTGGGGACTGATGTGAATAGACAATATATATGTAAATTGAAGGCACTATATAAGTACCTGCAAAAAATCTTATAAAAGGTGTAACTCTCCTACCACCACCTGCCTGGAGTCTGCATGCCCTCTCTGCCATACACTGTACACTCCTCAGGGGTGGGGACTGATGTGAATAGACAATATGTATGTAAACTGAAGACACTATATAAGTACCACCTGGCTGTAGGCTGCATGTTCTCCCTGTGCCTGCGTGGGTTTCCTCCAGAGGTACTCCAGTTTCCTCCTACACTCCAGAGACATGCTGGGAGGTGAATTGGCTCCTGTATAAATTGGCCCTAGTATGTGTGTGTATGAATGTGAGTTAGGGACCTTAGATTGTACACTCCTCGGGGGCGGGGGACTGATGTGAATGTACAATATATATGTAAATTGAAGGCACTGTATAAGTACCTGAAATAAATCTTATAAAAGGTGTAACTCTCCTACCTCCCAGACTCCTGGGTTGGTCCTGTTATGTTTGACAAAGCCCCCTCGGGGATCACAGAACTCTGGTGCATCTGCAGCTCTGGAGCTTCAAATGTTTCATTGAATGTATGCATGAATGTAAAGAGTCGCTTCTCCGGGAAGAAGAATGTATTGCCTCCTTGAAGAACAGAGCCATATATTAAAGCTTGTATCACCCCTGTCTGAAGTGGCGGTTGGTATTACAGAATTATCACCGTGGATATTGGGAGTTGTGTGTGCTCCTGAGAAAACTCTGCCACCGGTGATTCACAATTGTCTGACACAGAACAGACTCTGCTGTAGTCTTTCACCTTGCGACTTGCTACAAAGTTGTACAATATGATCATGGAGGGGGGATGGGACAAAATGTAACACTGATCTATCAGCACTGACTTCTGCACCCCCATCCACTGAAGATTCAACACCCCCACAATGACCAGGAATACATCTCCAGGTCATGATTTCTGTGTTCTATCACCGACACGTCACATGTACAAGAGAGAAAAAACTTTATTCACATTAACATCTCCTTTCCTGACTCCTCCTCCATCACCAGGACACATCGAGTGATCATAGGATACAACACCACAATGATACATTGTATTAGGATCCATTATAAGAGGGATCCAGTAGGATTCTATTGGTAGATCCATTCTATGGTAACACAGTATATTAGGATTCATTATAAAAGAGATCCAATAAAATTCTATTGGGGATCCATTCTACGGGGACACATTATTTTAGGATCCATTATAGAAGGGATCCAAGAGGATTTTAGTGGTAGATCCATTCTATGGGGACACATTATATAAATATCTATTATAAAAGGGATCCAATAGAATTATATTGGTGATCCATTCTATGGGGACACAGTATATTAGGATCCATTATACAAGCAATCCAACAGAATTCTATTGGGGATCCATTCTATGGGAACACATTATATTAGGATCCATTAAAAAAATTGATCCAGTAGAACTCTATTGGGGATCCATTCTATGGGGACACATGACATTGGGGACACATTCCGGTTCTATTCATCAGACATTATTATAGTCAGATCATTATATTGGGGATAGATCCCATGTTTTCTGTCACTAGTAAATCTCGTGATCATTTCTTCATGTTTTCTCGGAGATCTTTCCATCTATTTTTATCTCTTTCTCTCTATTTGTAGATCGATTATTTGTTTGTATTTCTTCACACAAAAAAATCATCCATAGAACAAACTCATTGTAAATGTATTAATAATAATGATAGATAGATAGATAGATAGATAGATAGATAGATAGATAGATAGATAGTCTTAAAGGGCCAGTACACCTGTATCAAGATCCCTCAGCAGCCACTCCCCCAATATGACATCACAGCTCGGAGACAGACAATATGTCGGGTTACACTCAGCACTCTGTCTCGGGTCCAGCAGTCTACACATTTCTTCACTGTCCCATCTCTATAGCAGGACAGGGGTGGGCTTTCAAGAGAACCTATCACTGTCTTGGGTGGGGGCTAGTGACAGAGTCTCTTTAAGGTCACCTGGGGCCCAAAATCAGTGAAAGATTTTTGAGCTCCAAAATGGTCTTGGGGCCCCCAAACAGTGATGGGAAAAAATCCTCTCTCACCCAAGACAAAAAAAAATCCAAAGTGCCCCCTCCCCCCATGAACTGTAAACTACTCCTTACTGGCCAATAGGATCATGTCAGTCCAGTAGCTGGACCAATATTCTACCCAATCACAGTGATCAGCGACAGAGGGAGAAAATCTCACTTATTATTATTTATAGTAGAAAAGCCTGAAGGACACCAACTGAGGCCCCACCCACTGCTTTATCCCATTGGCTGAACATTCCACCAAATCACATCTCTGGGAGGGGTTCTCACATCTCCTTATTCCCCCCACAGATCTTCATAAAACCTCTCCATACACCTAACCCGACATGGAGGGGCTCAGTGAAGGTGGTGGTGAAGGTGTGGAGGTGTCGGATTGGGTCACACAGATCATAAAAGGAGATCCGCCCGGCCTCATAATCCAGATATATCCTGACTCTGGTACTGGGGGGGAATTGGAGGATAAGGAGATATTATTACTGTTATGTATCACCCCATACTGATTACCATTCCAGAACAAACCCCAGGACTTGTTATTCCATCCAAACAGTGACTGCAATCCTCTCCTGTCTATACTGGGGTAACACATGCCGATTCTCCAGCTATCTGACCCCCCGACATCCACTTCCCAGTAATGTCTCCCGGAGGAGAAACTCCAACTGCTCAACACCTGAGAACAATCCTGAAATCTCTCTGGTATTTCTGGACGATTCTGGTCTACATCTGACCTGGATACAGTTTTCCTGTCATCTGATATCTGTAGAATATTATGAGCTGTGTTTCCATCCAGTAATATGTCCTCAGCTCCCTGTATATAGAAGGATACATTTAACCCTTTTATTATATCAGATAATGTGTGTAATGTGTGTGATATCCCAGCCACATCCACCCCCCCTCCATCATGGAGGAGCTCCTCATGTCTCTCTCTGTCCTCATTATCTCCATCCTCAGTATCACACAAGTCACCTGTGTCTGATTCCTGTAGGACAGTCAGTGGATCCGTCATGTTACACATCTCCTCAATGTCACGTATCTTCCTGGACAGCTCCTCCTTCTTTATTTCCAGATCACGGATAGAGATGGAGATCCGCTCTGCCCTCCCGGAGATTTCCCTCAGGACTCTCTTCTCCAGGTCTTCCAGATGTCTCCTGAGATCTCTAAACAGGGCAGTGACTCTCTCTGTGTCACCAGCCTCTTCTTCTTCTACTTTCCTCCTGTGTTCCTGCAGACTCTGGACTCTTTCCTCCATCTCCTTTCTCTCTGTCAGAAGTTTCTGCAGAACATTCCTCAGTGTGTCCTTCTTCTTCTCAGAAGTCTCATCCACCATCTCCACCTGGTGTCCTCGATGTTCTCCAGCCAAACTGCAGGACACACAGATATAGGTGTCATCCTCAGTGCAGTAATACTCCAGGATCTTCTTATGGATGGAGCATTTCCTGCTCTCCATGGACAAGGTGGGGTCAGTTAAGATGTGTTTTGGGGACTTTTTGTGGACTCTCAGGTGTTTATCACACAGAGAAACCTCACAGTGTAGACAGGATCTAACAGCAGGTACAGGAGAGTCCACACAGTGAGTACAGAAGACCCCGGACTCCTCTTGATCTGGCTGAGAAGAAAGCAACTTCTCCATTATATTACGCAGTGTTATGTTCCTCTGCAGAGAAGACCGATCCGGAAACTTCTGTCTGCATTCAGGACAGGAATACCCTCCAGACCCCCCCGTGTATCCAACACACGATCAATACAGACCCGTCAGAAGTTGTGTCCACATTTCAGGTTTACAGTATCTGCATAAATGTCCAGACAGACGGAACATTCCAGCTCAACTTCAGATCAGCAGACGCCATCACTGACAGCAGAAAGAGAAATGACAGTGAAGGTCTCTGACTTCAGGGAAGAATGCAGTTGGGAGGGTCACATCCTCCTACACAGGGTGAGGCTGGATCTGTGGTATTTGATGCAGACAGCAAAGTACAGAAGAGGGAGGATTTTTTTCACAGCAGTAAAAATAATATGTAGCACTACCCCTTAAGGTTTGCTTTAGTAATTTATTTGGGTTCCCTGTCAATCTAGACCTCTCGTTGAAAGCCCAACCTCTGCTGACACCACCGTGCGATGGTGACCCCGATAAATCACACCTGTAAGATGGACTCCTACACAGAGTAGTATAAACCAAAATGAAGTTTACTGAGGTAACTGAATAGGACAGGAATAACAAAATAACACTGGTATTGGCAGTAAGTGTGATCACTCTTGGCAATGGTGATCAAAAGTAATGACATTCACAACAAAACAACAGGAACTGTTTGCAGGCCTGCTGTCGCGATCAGGGGTCAAGTTCAAAGACCAATTGCTATAGCAGTGGAAAGGCTTACCTGAAACCAGCAGGTTAGGTACACAGGCAGGTCACCGTGGTGGAGGAGTGGGATCACCCAAGGTGCGAATCTAAGTACCAACCGCTGTTCACCAGAGCTCCTGATGGTGGAGATGGATTTGGCTGCATGTTAGCACCAGGTCACGGTCCTCAGGATCACCCCACCAGGAGGTGAGCAAGCGCAGGTAGCGTATAAACAGGTAAGGATCAAACGGAAGCCTGGTCAGTAAACAAGCCAAGGTCGGTAAGGAGCAGTCGCAGGTTGGGATCAGGCAGAAGCGTATTCGAGAACAAGCCAAGGGTCAATATCGAGTGTAGCAAAATATGGATAACAGCAGAGATGATAAGGAGCACAATATTGGCTGGAGATCACAATAATCTGGCAAACAGGAAGTGCAGAGACATGGCTTATATCAGGAAGTTTATGGGAGAAGCAAGTGGTTTAAGGTTCCTGATAAACAAGGAAAAGGTAGGATCATCCAAATAATTGTCAAGATAGCTGTCCAGCATTCCAGGTGGCTCAGCAAGAAGAAACATTGATACTCACTGCAGAAGGCCTATGTTTGGATCCAGGCTCTGACAGTACTCCCCTCCTCACAGAACATCTCCTGGACATCTTACGACCAGGCTTGTGGGGAAACCTCTGGTGGAATTCTCTTGTTAGTCTAGGAGCATGAACATTTTCCTCAGGCTCCCAAGAATTCTCCTCTTGCCCATATCCTTCCCATTGGACAAGACATTGCAATTTTCCTCTAAACATCCTAGAGTCAAGAATCTTCTCTACCACATATTCTTCTTCACCCTGCACTTCAACAGGTGGAGGAGGTGGAAGAATTCTTCCAGAGAAAGGATTTTCATGAAACGGTTTGAAAAGCGATACGTGCAAAAACAGGGTAAATCTTCATACTCTCAGGAAGTTTTAAGCAAAAGGTGACTGGGTTGATCTAAGCAGAAATCTGGAAAGGTCCCACAAACTTTTGGCCCAACTTTTCAGATGGAACATGAACCTTCAGATTTTTGGTTGATAGCCAAACCTTGTCGCCCACATGAAAGGTAGGAAGTGATCTGCGATGACTATTGGCAGCCCTTTTATAACGTTCCTGAGTTTCCCCAAAGTCTCGATCAGCTTTGCCTGAATCTCCTGCAATGTAGTTAATCTGTTGGCAACAGCAGGAATTTGAGTTGCGATAGGGAGATCCAGAATAAAAACTGGATGATACCCCATATTGAGGAAAAAAGGGCTTTGGGAGGTGGAGCGATGTTTAGCATTGTTATAGGCAAACTCTGCCGTAGGTAGATAGTCCACCCAGTCATCGTGAAGATAGCTGACAAAACATTGAAGGTACTGTTTCAAAGTTTGATTGGTCCTCTCGGTCTGACCATTAGACTGTGGATGAAAAGCAGAGGACAGGTTAACAGTTACCCCTAAAGCTGAACAAAAGCTTTTCCAACATTTTGATGTAAACTGTACTCCTCTGTCAGATACCACATCATCAGGAATTCCATGTAGTTTAAAAACATCTCAAACCATCAACTCCACAGTTTGTTCAGCAGAAGGTACCCTCTTAACAGGTATAAAATGAGCCATCTTAGTAAGACAGTCGATGACTACCACGTCAGTGGTCATTTCTTTTGAGAGAAGTAATTTGACTACAAAGTCCATAGAAACTGACCCCCCCAAGGTCTTGATGGAACAGGAAGTGCTTGGAGCAACCCCAAAGGAGAAGCTCGGGGTATATTATGATGTGCGCACTTCAGACAGGAGGCCACGTAGCGTTTGATAACTTTCCTATAACTAGGCCACCAGTAGGAACGTGACAAAAGTTCATCTGTCTTTGAAATCCCAAAATATCCTGCAAGTTTAGAGTCATGAACTAATTTGAGGACTTCCACCCGAGCAGACTCAGGTACATAGAGACAATGTGCTTGAGTCCAAAATCCGTTCTTGTATTCAAGGTTAATGTCCTAAGGAGGATCACTGAGAAGTGGGTCATTCTCATACCCCTCTTTGAGAAGATTCAAGAATGTCGTTGTACTTGTGGCCCCTAGGAAGTTCTTTTGAGTTGGGATTGAACATTCAGAGTTGCCCTCCTGGGGAGGCTCAGACAGCATCCTTGATAAGGCATCGGCCTTACCATTCCTCAATCCAGGTAAATATGACATAATAAAATTGATCTGGAAAAGAATAAAGACCAGCGTGCTTGTCTAGAAGACAATCTCTAGGCCGAGCAAATGAATTCCAGATTTTTATGGTCAGTGAGAACAGTTACAGGGTGATTAGCCCCTTCTAGCAGATGCCTCCATTCAGAAAAGGCTTCCTTAATTGCCAGTAGCTCTTTATTCCCAATGTCGTAATTCTTTTCGGCTGAGGACATCAAACAAGAGAAGTAGGCACAAGGATGAAGCTGCATCTTTTCATCACTTCGCTGAGACAGGATAGCTCCCCACGGCAGAATTAGAAGCATCCACTTCCACTATAAAGGGTAGTTCAGGATCGGGATGTACCAAAATTGGTGTAGAAAGGAAAAGAGTTTTTAGCTTTCCAAACATAGCCAGTGCCTCAGGGGTCCACACGAAGGGTACCCCTTTCTTTGTCAGCTGTGTAATTGGAGCTATCACTTTAGAAAAGTTTCTTATAAATTTTCTGTAGAAGTTGGCAAACCCGACGAAACGTTGAATTTCCTTAACATTTCCAAGTGCTGACCAATCTACCACTGCTTTGATCTTCTCGGGATCCATGCTCACTCCCTCTGGAGAAATGATATAGCCTAAGAACTGGATCTGGGTCTGTTCAAACTCACATTTCTCCAATTTAATGTAAAGTCTATTCTTCCTTAATCTTTCAAAGACAGTGCAAACATGTTTGTGGTGCTCCTCCCAATTATCGGAAAAGATAAGAATATCATCCAGATAAGCAATTATTAATTGGTTCAACAGATCCCAAAAAACATTGTTGATGAAATGCTGAAAAGTTGCAGGGGCGTTGCAAAGTCCAAACGGCATCACCAAGGAGTTGAAATGCCCATACCTGGTTCTAAAGGCGGTTTTCCATTCATCTCCTTGACGAATGCGGACAAGTTTATATGTCCCTCGTAAATCAAGCTTGGTAAAGATCTTGGCTTGACAAAGTCTTTCCAACATTTCAGAGATCAAGGGTAGTGGATAGCGGTCTTTAATAGTGATTTTATTCATGTCATCAAAAACCTGATTCATCACGGTCAAAAAGGTATCAAAATTATTCAGAGTGCCATTGTCTTGTTCTATACAAGGGGAGGCCCAAGCTAGAGCTTCCCCAGTAAGAAGCCCAATAATAAACATTACCTTCTTTTTCTCTGAAGGAAATGCAGCAGGGTACATTTGGAAATATATACGACATTGATTAAGGAAACCCTTGTAGTGGCGGCGGTCTCCATTAAACTTAGATGGTTAGGGCATTTGTGAGTTAGGATCATCTCGGTCCAGCAGTTTTCTCTGCAGAGTATCAATCTCTCCCTGTTGCCTATCCACTATGCTTTCTAGTTTGGCAACTTTTTCTTGATGGGTAACCCCGAAATCCTGCAGCTCAGCAATTTGCTGCCTAAGAGGAGCACAACGTTTGCTATAGTGGCCTCCATGTTTGGGCAAGATTATTCTGTCATTATCAGGAGTCTGGCTCGAAGACCAGTTGCTATAGCAGTGGAAAGGCTCCCCTGAAACCAGCAGGATAGGTACACAGGCAGGTCACCGTGGCAGAAGAGTGGGATTATTATTATTATTATACAGTATTTATATAGCGCCAAAGGGTATGCTCAGCGCTGTACAGTAGCAAGGGGGACAGAACATGAGACAAGACAGTAACAATACAATACACGAGGGGTTCAAGGGCCCTGCTCTTTCGAGCTTACAATCTAGGAGGGAGGGGAAGGTGGTACAGGAGGAGATGGCTGTGGGGGATGGAGTGGAGGGAGGAGTGGAGGAGGTTAGTTGTTAGGTGAGGTCGGGTGTTAGGTGAGGTTGGGGTAGGCTTCCTTGAAGAGGAGGGTTTTCAGGGTGCGCCTGAAGGTGAGGAGGGTAGGCGACAGTCTGATGGGTTGGGGTAGGGAGTTCCAGAGGATGGGGAAAGTCCTGGAGAAGTCCTGCAATCGGGTGTGGGAGGAGGAGACCAGGGAGCTAGAGAGTAGGAGGTCCTGTGAGGAGCGGAGGACACGGGTAGGGTAGTATTTAGGTATCAGGTCAGTTAGGTAGTTCGGGGCGGCATTGTGAATGGCTTTGTAGGTCAGAGTTAGCAGTTTGAATTTGATGCGTTGGGCAATCGGGAGCCAATGAAGGGATTGGCAGAGGGGGGAGGCAGATGTGGAGCGGTTGGTGAAGTGGATGAGTCTAGCCGCTGAGTTTAGGATCGACTGGAGTGGGGATAGCGCTCATTTGGGTAGGCCGGTGAGAAGGGAATTGCAATAGTCAAGGCGTGAGATGATGAGAGAGTGTACAAGTTATTTGGTGGTGTCTGGGGTGAGGAATGTGCGTATCTTGGAGATGTTGCAGAGGTGGAGCCTGCAAGATCTAGATAGCAGTTGGATGTGGGGTAGGAAGGAGAGGTGGGAGTCCAGGGTGACACCCGGGACTTTGGCGTGTGGGGTGGGAGAGATGGTGGCGGAGTCTAATTACCAACTGGTGTTCACCAGAGCTCCTGACGGTGGAGAGAAGGATATTGCTGCATGTTAGCACCAGGTCACGGTTATCAGGATCACCCCACCAGGAGGTAAGCAAGCAGAGGTCCAGTAGCGTATAAGCAGGTAAGGATCAAATGGAAGCGTGGTCAGTAAACAAGCCAAGGTCGGTAAGGAGCAGTCGCAGGTTTGGATCAGGCAGAAGTGAAGTCGAGAACAAGCCAAGGGTAATAACGAGTGGTAGCAAAATATGGATAATAACAGAGAAGACAAAAAGCAAGATACTGGCTGCAGAGCACAATAATCTGGCAAACAGGAAGTGCAGAGACTTATATCAGGAAGTTCATGGGAGGAGCAGGGGGTTCAAGGTTCATGACAAACAAAGTCAAGGTAGGATCATCCAAATAATTGTCAAGCGCTCTGTCCAGCACTCCAGGTGGCTCAGCAAAAAGAAGCATTGCCACTCCCTGCAGAAGGCACAGGTTTGGACCCAGGCTCTGACAGATACATACTGTACATGCAGATACAGTAGCAAGAAAAAGTATGTGAACCCCTTGGGATTACGTGGAGTTTTGCATGAATTGGGCATAAAATGTGCTCTGAACGTCACCTAAGTCACAACAATAGAAGAACACAGTCTGCTGAACATAATACTACACAAACATTAGATGTTGCCATGGTTTAATTGCACATAACATGTAAACATTCACAGTGCAGGGAAGAAAAAGTATGTGAACCTTTGGACTTAATAACTGGTTGACCCTCCTTTGGCAGTAATAACCTCAACCAAACGTTTCCTGTAGTTGCAGATCAGACCTGCACAACGATCTGGAGTCATTTTGGACCACTCCTCTTCACAAAACTGTTTCAGTGTAGCAATATTCTTGGGATGTCTGGTGTGAATCGCTCTCTTAAGGTCATGCCACAGCATTTCAATCGGGTTGAGGTCAGGACTCTGACTGGGCCACTCCAGAAGGCGTATTCTGTGCTGTTGCAGCCATTGTTTTGTTGAATTACTTGTATGCTTTGGGTCATTGTCCTGTTGCATCACCCATCCTCTGCGGAGCTTCAGTTGGCAGGACAGATGGTCGTACGTTTTCCTGCAAAATGTCTTGATAAACTCTGGAATTCATTTTCCCATCAATGACAACAATCCGTCCAGGCCCTGAGGCAGCAAAGCAGCCCAAAACCATGATGCTCCCTCCGCCATGTTTTACAGTGGGGATGAGGTTTTGATGTTGGTGTGCTGGGCCTTTTTTTCTCCACACATAGTGTTGTGTGTTCTTCCCAAACAACTCAATCTTGGTTTCATCTGTCCACAGTATATTTTGCCAGTAGTGCTGTGGAACATCCAGGTGCTCTTTTGCAAACTTCGAACGTGCTGCAATATTCTTTTTGGACAGCAATGGCTTCCTCCGTGGTGTCCTCCCATGTACTCCATTCTTGTTTCATGTTTTCCTTATTGTAGATGTGTCAACAAAAATGTTAGCATGTGCCAGAGATTTCTGTAGGTCTTTAGCTGACACTCTGGGATTCTTCTTTACCTCATGCAGCATTCTGCGCTGTGCTCTTGCAGTCATTTTTACAGGATGACCACGCCTAGGGAGAGTAGCAACAGTGCTAAACTTTCTCCATTTGTAGACTGTCTGTCTTACCGTGGACACATGAACATCAAGGCTTTTGGAGATACTTTTGTAACCCTTTCCAGCTTCATGCAAGTCAACAATTCTTGATCGTAGGTCTTCTGAGAGCTCTTTTCTGCGAGGCATGGTTCACATCAGACAGTGCTTCTTGAAACCAGTAAACCCAAAACAGGTGTGTGTTTTTTAAGGGCAGGATAGCTGTCAGCAACACATCCAATATCATCACACTGATTGGAGTCAAGATTGGCTCACTCCTGGCTCCAATTAGCTCTGGGAGAAGTCATTAAGCTAGGGCCTCACATACTTTTTCCTCCCTGCACTGTGAATGTTTACATGTTATGTGCAATTAAACCATGGCAACATCTAATGTTTGTGTAGTATTATGTTCAGCAGACTGTGTTCTTCTATTGTTGTGACTTAGATGATGTTCAGAGCACATTTTATGCCCAATTCATGCAAAACTCCACGTAATCCCAAGGGGTTCACATACTTTTTTCTTGCTACTGTATATACAACATTAGTCATACAATTATAATTATTTACAAAAATCTTATGAAGAGAAACCTTTTCCACAGACTCACATTTCAACATGAGCAGTAATATAGGGCAGCAGCATCCACACAGCGATCAAATTGGTCATGAATGAACATTCGCACACATGGCCTCCTCCCCTCGTACCCCATAAAAATAGACCAAACAATCATGTTCCATCCTATGATGGAACTGGGGGAAGAGGGAGAGAAAGGGGAAACCAAAAAAGTCCCAAATATGACTCACAATGAGTGACTTTTGGGGTCCTGAGGAAGCTAAGAAGCAAAATGCGTCAACCTCTGGAGGACTTAGATGTCATAATACATAATGCTGTAATTTATTGGGCTGACTAGCCAAAAATACTGTTTTATGTAATACATTTTTGGAAGATATGTTTCAATAAACATGTTTTATACAGTAATATGAGGTTGTTCGTTTTCTGTACCGGTAAAGTCCCATTCGTTTTTTGTGGTTCTTTATAGGATATATTAGGGATGAGGTACGTTTGCAGTCTGGTTTATATAATGTTGTTCAATGACACATGAGATATCCAGAGACAATTATGCATGTTAATGTTCTGTACATCACATGTAAGTGCCATTATCAAATATGTTACAACTACAGCTATCATACATATGACATTGAACTGCAAAATATATCATAACTATCTTAGATATGTATGATATGGAGAATAGAATGAGGATTCAAGATGATATCTAATATTGATTGGTAGGGCACCTGCCACCCCTAGATGAGGGTCTGATATAGATGTTAATTAGATGTTGAAAGGTAAACCCAAAGCACCAAATATAAACCCTTAAAGCAGTAGAAAAGTCACAAAACAAATTTAAAATGCCCCCCGCCCCCCGCCCGCAAGTGGATGCCATAATGTACTTGGATGCATCCCATAGTAGTATACCTCCCAACTTTCTGAGATAGAAAACCTATTAGCAAAAGTATGTAAGTATAGGACACCCCCCGCCACGCCCCCCTTAAAGGAGAATTATACAAAAATGATTGGTTGAACCCACAAATGCTTGATTTTTACCACTATTATTTCTTTATATTGGCTTTTGACGTTTAGAAATGCAGCAATTTAGAAATTGGATGAAAGGTTTATCACTGTAAAGCACTTTTTGATAGATAAATAGTACATTTTATATACAATTATATAGATTGGAACAAAATGAAGGACCAATGAGGGAGAAGGAGGGACAGAGGGGCTTTGTTCCAAGTGAGGGACAGTCCCTCGCAAGCAGGGACAGTTGGGAGCTATGTAGAAGTACATTATGGCCGACTTGCTGTCAGCAAAGCACTGGCCATAGTATTATTATTATTATTATTATACAGGATTTATATGGCACCAACAGTTTGCTCAGCACTTTACAATATAACGGGAGACAATACAGTTCAATACAAGAGGGTTAGGAGGGCCCTGATACTTGGAGCTTACAATCTAAGAGTACAGGTTCACGCCTGCGCCTGCAGGGGCTTGTTTGGCTGTGCATAGATGTGCGTGGATAGCACACATCCGCTGCTGATGCTGGTGCCAAATAGACTATTTTGGTGCAAGAGTTGTACTAACTAGACAGTGATGTCTGATCCAGGGGCGGAATGACAACTCATGGGGCCCCCGGGCAATAGGGGATCATGGGGCCCCTGTGTCCTTGCCCACAGTCAAAAAAGCCTAGGCCTAAAAAAAAAAGGTACCAGGGGCATTTCATGGGGCCCCCTACTGACTGAACAATATGGTAGTGTGACAAGAGCACCCCTACCTGAAAAAGAAGGTTACTAAATGATCCACGCGGAGTAATATGAATTCAAAAGAATTTTAACAATACTTTATTTGATCACATAGATCATAAGGAGGTTAAACAGAAGCACGGTGTACATATGAAAAAAATAAAATCATGTTAAAAAACACTTAGCGTCCTCAATTTAGGGTAATCTTAACAAGTAGAGCACCATATAAGGCAGGGTTGTGGAATGATAAAGTAGTTATCCTGGATTTCCGTGGGTTTCCTGCTTATATTCGGATGAACCATGTGTTCAGCAGATGTATTCCCAATATATGTCAGGGACCTCCTGGAATGTAAAAGCTGGAACACAAAAATACATGGTGTATGTATAGGAATCTGATAACCAATTAACATCAAAGAATTCACCAGGCCTCTCTCCACATTAGTCAATGTATACTACTATTACCTTCTCAATAGTGAGACAATCATGCCCACTTCTCAAGTGTAGGGACTTCCTGGATAGCCACCCCAAGTAAAACAAGGTCCACAGTACCAAATGATTCTGAGGATATGTATAGAAAAAGTAAAAATAATGAATATAAAAATCATAGGCATCAGATGACCCCGAAAAAACAAAACACACGCAAATTGTGGATATATTACCATCAATGATGATCAAGAAGACTCCTGTCAACTTGAAATAAGATCAGGTTCTTGATGCTTTTTCAAAAATGCATATGGGGGTGATAAGCCAGGTAGTCACAATATATGGGTTCCAAACACATATAGAATGTGTATATAGCATATAACAGGCCGTAGGTACCTGAATTTAATATACCCAATAAAGGGTTTCCAAAAATTGCTCAATTAGAGAAGGTTATTACGGTTTTATAAGGATATGGCTATGTCACAGCAAAAAGTGCCTGAATAGGATAGCGTATATATATATATATATATATGTAAATTATCCCCCAAAGAGGATTTCAAAAAATTCCCCGAATTATACAGGGTAAATTAGGCCCATAAAACATGCCCCATTAACACCATATAGGCTCTATGAATCTCAACAGCCGTAAGCTTTAAATAACTTGCCACCGGTGGAAGATAAATTTCCCTGAGGGATTGCCGTTTGCGAACCGCTGTGATAGTAGCCCCCTACTGACCCTGGGCCCTTGGGCAGTGCCCGAGTGCTCAAATGGTCAGTCCACCCCTGGTCTGATCTACTCTCTGTGTGTTCAAGCATCTGTTCCTGTGTTTGACTTCCATGCTTGCCCTGAGCATGTTTGACCCTTACCTGCCCTGACCTTGGTTGGTCTCTGGATTTGGCTTTGCCTCTTGCTCATCTGCCTGCTCCAGTGTTGCTGACCTCTGCTTATACTTTGACCATTCTTCTGCCTGCTGTCCATGCTTGTACCTGACTGTTGCTGACCTGGTTCTTCTGACCACGCATTCAGTTATCCGTCTTCTCAGCTCTGC